GATAAATATCAGTAATTAAATAAGATCCCCCCACAAACATTCATCCAGCAGCCATAGATCCAAACTTTAATCCATTAGACGTGTTTAGATATATGTGGGAATCCCCCCCCCCCCCCCCGAAGAATGAAATATTTGGGGGAATATTAAAAGGCAGAATATTATATTTCCCCAAAGGAAAAATGGAGAAATATGCTCTTAAAAAGAGAAGGCAGACTCAGTCTTTCTTAATAGCTCCCAGAAGATATTTTGTGCCCTTAAGAAAGATTGAGTCAGCCTATTCACAAAACAAAATAATTTCGCCTCCAAGAATGGGATTAAAATTTACATTCTCCTCCATCCAAATTCTAAGAACAGGACATGAGCCTTTAAGTTGAGGACATAATAGGATTAACCTGTTTGGCAAAAGTCACAAGCCCCTTCACTGTACAACCCCCCAGAACAGTTCAAACTTCAAAGTCACAGAAACCTAGAAAGATCCATCCACCTATTCAGCCATTTGGTCAGCTGTCTCAGAACCACACGCTCCTGGTGGTTCTACTTCATCAATAAATGGAACCTGTTTCCAGTCAGTCTTCATGTTATTTCCAGCGTCTTTCTCCCAGCTTGGAACGGAACCAGGTGGATTTTCCTTCCAACATGCGAAAATTCCATTTCATCAATAATCTTTTTGAAAAACATGTTTTGATTGACGCAAAGACAGAACTTACATTAATGTTGCTTTCTTTTCTTTTACTCTTCTCATTTCAAACCCAGCACACAATAATATTCCTGTGAGATATAGACCAGTTACCAATGTCCTCTCCTAAATGGTACGTTTCTTCTCACACACAAGTCTGGAAACCTCCCTTTATAAACTGTACACACCTGCCAGCTGTAGCAACCTGCTGGGTGTAGCAGCTGTTTGTTCATATTTACACCCAATTGGCTGGTGTCTTCTGACTCAATCCAATAGGAAGACTTCCCTATTAAAAATGGGTTCCTTTTATTATATAGAAGCATAGGGTGAGAAAAACTGCACTTTCTGTTTTGCCCCTCACTAGTATGAGCCACTCCATGTTTACTGAGAACAGCAATCAATGATGTCTCCTCATTCAATACAATCCAATTAAGATACAAGTAGTCTTTTGGATTCTTCTAATAATGCTTTAAATTGTACTGTGGTTAATTTAATAGCTGAATTTGTAACAATTGAATTAACTTTCATTATTTCTTAGCTTTTTAAGTTGATTTGCTTTGAATGTTTCCTTGAGCACTCTTCGATTTTATTTTATCCAAGGATCAAAGGAATAAATTTGGACACATAGGGAAAGTGGTCTGTTTTGGTGTTAATGCCAGATGAGTAATCAAAGAAAGATAATTTCTGGTTGGTCATATGGGTCCTCATTCAGTGGAATGATTCCTACAGTTTTACAAGGGAATTAGAATATTTGCTTTGGGGGGAAATGTGTATCCAAACTGTTAGTATTTTTTGGTTAGTACTGTTAAAATAACAAGAATCTTTCAATATAAATTTAGAGAATTATTTTTAAGCTTGGTATTCTACATCATACTTCATCTGATACAGCTCTCTTCACATGCATTGTACTACACATCTATTTTACTACACAACTCATGACCTATTGGATCATGTTTCAAAGATATTTACTTAGCTATCTCTTGCAAACACCCACATAATTCCCCCCTAATGCTTATTCCACCTCCTTTGCATCTTTTGCATCCAATAAAATATATTGTCCAAAGCATGTGCAAATAACTTGTTTGGAAATGTTGATATAGGACAGCAGTACATAAATTACAATTCTTTACCTTCTGTAATTAAGTCTGTTAAGCAAATAAATACTGCAATATAGTAAAAATGGGATGTCTCTGTTAATCATCAGAAGTAGAGAATATGATATAATTTTGGCTACGTGTCAACTAATGATAAACAGGAGGCTATAACTCTTGTCCCAAAGATGCTTTTTCAAGAGGCAACTGAACTTTCTTGTTATTCTTTGAAGTTTTTTTTGCTTCTCATCCAAGAAGTTTCTTCAGCTTTGAGCAAAACATCTTCAAAGAAAAACAAGAAAGTCCTGTTGCCTCTTTAAAAAGCATCTTTGGGACAACCATGACCTGGATGACTCTCCATAGACATGTAGTATAACTCTTGTTCTCTGTTCACTACTGCATTAAAATATTGCCATAGTTTCCCTTATGCCACCAGTAAAAACATGGACAACTACTGCAAATATGGTCATTATCCTGAGAATTTCTTTTTAAGCCATTCCTTGGAATCATTTTGAACATTAATGCTGATAGAAGATCTAGTGCTAATGCAAACATTTCTTGATCACTGTGTATTACATGAAAGGAGTCCACACCGGGCATCCCCCAGGTGATGATTTCAGGTTCATATAATTTATGTCATGTTCTACTCTTATTCAAAGAGCTTTAGAATAATAGAGAGGGGATGAAAGAAGAGAAAAAATACAACAAATAGGCCAAATATCAACTTTTGTGGTTGATCACTCACACCGTCTTGACTAAATTTCAGTTATTTATTTGTATCCCTCCTTTACTATTTTTACAAACAATTCAAGATAGAAAACATACCCAATACTTCTTCCTCCTCTATTTTCCCCACAACAATAACTCATGAAATGGGCTGGGTTGGGAGAGAGTAGCTGGCCAAAGGTCACCAGGCTGGCTTTCATCACTAAGGTGGGATTTAAACTCACAGTCTCTGAGTTTCTATCTGGTCCCTTAATCACTAGACCAAAGTGGCTTTCATTGTCTTTATTACACCAGAATCCAACAGGGAACATGCTAAGAATTGCAGTCTATCAGACACATATGATCAACATACAAGTGGATTACTGCCTTCCTGACAAACAGGCAACAAATAGTAAAAATAGGAAACACCCTATCAAACCCTGCACCAGTTATCAGCAGTGTCTCACAAGGGAGTGTCCTAGGACCCACACTCTTTACACTCTATACAAATGACCTTTGTGATCACCTTATTAGCAACCGCGTCCTCTTCGCTGATGATGTAAAACTATTCAACACCACCGTCAATACTACCGTCTTTCAAAAAGACCTTGATTATGTGTCTGAATGGTCTAACAATTGGCAACTCTAAATATCTACCAACAAATGCTCTGTCCTACACATTGGTAAAAAAAAATCTATATACCAAATACAATCTAGGTGGATATGACGTTGTTGATGACCCTCACTTTGTCAAGGACATTCTCATATTGAATGATCTAAGCACCAAAGCTCACTGCAACAGTATTTCCAAAAAGGCTTTAAGAGTTGTAAATTTAATTTTATGAAGCTTCTCCTCTGGTAATACTGTTTTGCAAACTAGACTAATACTTGAATTCAGCTCTGCTGTCTGGAATCCGCACTGTGTATCTGACATAAATACAACTGAGCAAGTCTAGAAGTATTTTACCAGCAGAGTACTACATTCCTCTGTTCACAACAGAATACCCTACAGCAGTGATCCCCAACCTTTTTTACGCCGCGGCCCGGTATCCCCAACCTTTTTTATGGCGCGGCCCGGTACCGGCATTAGCTGGGCGCCGCCATCTTTTTTTGATGAAAAAGTGCTTCCGGTGACCTCACCGGAAGCACTTTTTCATCAAAAAAAGATGGCAGCGCCAGCGCTTCCGGTGAGCTTTTCCGGGTAGAAATGGCTTTCTACCCGGAAAAGCTCACCGGAAGCACTTTTTCATCAAAAAAAGATGGCGGCGCCCAGCAAGCCAGCGGCCCGGTAGGACTTGTTTCACGGACCGGTACCGGTCCGTGGACCGGTGGTTGGGGACCCCTGCCCTACAGCACCAGACTTGAGATTCTTGGCTTAGACAACCTTGAATTACGCCGATTAAGATTAGACTTAAACATAGTACATAAAATCATATGTTACAATGTCTTATCAGTTAATGAATATTTCAGCTTTAACAACAACAACACTAGAGAGCACAACAGATATAAACTAAATGTAAACCATTCAAAACTCTATTGCAAGAAGTATGATTTCAGCAACAGAGTAGTCAATGTCTGGAACTCACTACCTGATTCTGTTGTCACCTGCTCAAACTCCCAGTCCTTTACCCTCAAACTAACCTCTATTGACCTCACCCCATTCCTAAGAGGTCTGTAAGCAGTGTGCATAAGCGCACAATCATGCGTCCCGTCCCTGTCCTATTGTCCCCAATTATTAGTTTCTATTTCTTGTATTTAAACTTATGTTTGTTCTTATTTCTGTTATATTGTAAGTTTTGAAAATAAAATAAATAAATAAAAATAAATAAAGATAGGGTAGTCTGTTCTAATCAATCAACATGTTTTCTTTTACTTTTTAAGTATTTGAGATTATATTATTTTGAATCACATGAAAGGAGCCCACACCGGGCACCCCCAGGCAACTGTGATGTCACCATCTAATCCTTTCAACCCTGAAGGACCTTAACAGTTGCTTCCAACACAAACGGGACAAGATGTATAAGCGATAGCAATAACTCTTAGACTTATATACAACTTCACAGTGTTTTACAGCCCTCTATAAGCAGTTTAGTGTCAGCATATTGCCCCCAACAGTCTGGGTCCTCATTTTACCGACCTCGGAAGGATGGAAGGCTGAGTCAAGCTTGAGCTGGCCAGGATCGAACTGCTGGCAGTCGGCAGAATTAGCCTACAATACTGTGTTCTAACCACTATGCCACCATGGCTACAAATTTAGCTATACTCCATGTTCTCCATTAGGGATATGATTTCCATGTGTTCACCCCACTCCATCTTTGAAAGAAAAGCAGTTTAGGAGTAATTGTAAAGACAAAATCAACTCTGAGTAATGCGTAAATAGAATAATCTATGCATCCAAGCTAAATGACTTGTTGTATATAGAAAACAAGTTAACGGAGACAAGAGTATGAATTCACTGGATGGTCTTTTGTTTTGTATGTAAACTGAAAATTTATTTAAAATGGGTCATGGAAAAAACCAGTGGAAAATTAACAGCAAATGAACTTCGTGTCTTTATTGACAAACATTTCTCAAGGATTCCTCTGGAGTAAGTCCATTATTTCATAATACAAATTATCAGGTGCATCAATACCATATATAAAATCCAGATGGTTCCACTGAGGAATAAATTTGTGGGAAATAAGGTTTTGAATTTGGGGGATTAATTGATTAACATCATCAGGATCAGAAAGCCAGTCATTTCCACCATTCCAAATTGCCGTTGGTACAGTCATAGCTGATATATTGTATTCAGGAGGCAAATCCTGTTTTTAAAAAATGAAAAAGAAAATGTGATATTGTCCTACTCCTCAGATCCAGACAAAGATATTATTAGCTAAATTGTGTCCCACTTTGCAAGAACATAAAGGAAAGAAAATGGGGCTGAATTCTTGTGTATTCATTAACTTGAGTTCTGTAGAATGCTAAGTATTAACATTCCTTCCAAAGACTACATATTTTCTCATTGTAACTGAAAATGAAATGCATTCACCCATAACACTGAGTCTCAAAAGAAGTTTAATGCTCCTGGGTGACCTACTTTCACACTTCACTCTTTTACTTCTGTCGGTTATGTTTTACGCTAAAGGTAATTATGATATATAAGGGAGGTGTCCTCTGAAAAGCTCCATATGGGTTCAAAACGTTAACGGGACCATTGTCCCAATTTTTAACCAGTCTTCATTGTGCAAATATTGAGTTTGCTCATACAAATATCCACATGTGCATAGTTGCTTGGTTGTATATGTGTGTTCACACAATACTTAAAGACATTTGGGAAAGTCTGTATCTCAAGGCTTGTTATTTGAATTCCTGAAGCATACATGCATAAGAAAGATTTCAAGGCAGGAATTCTGTATGATCTACTTTCAGTCTTAAATCTTTTATTATAACTATTCATATTTCTTAATTAAGGCCATTTCTTTCTGATCTATCTATCTATCTACCGTGTTTCTCATATAATAAGGCCAGGTCTTTTTTTTTATTTTTTGAGCCCCGAAAAAATGGCTAGGCCGTCTTTTCGGGGGTGATTTAATTCCCCACCCTTGCATCTTCAGGCGGGCGGGCGGGCAACAATGGCTTGGATGTTGACCTCGACGTTGGTGGGGCACTTCATATTGGGGTTAACGCAGGCAGCACCATATCCGGGTGTGCAACAAAAGTACTTCCTAACGGCAAGCCCCCCCACCATTCTGCATGTTTTAATATAGGCCTTAATTTGGGGGGAGGGGCTTAATTTCATTTCATGCCTATAAAACATGCTGGGACTTCCTATTGGGGGAGGCCATATTGTTGGAGAAATAGGGTATCTATCTATCTATCTATCTATCTATCTATCTATCTATCTATCATCTATCTATCTATCTATCTATCTATCTATCATCTATCCGTTTGTTTGTTTGTTTTGTAGCATACCCCAATGCTCAAACAAAATAATGCTACTTAAGAACAGTATGGTAAAAATAAAAATCCAGAGAAAATCCATGACAGGTACATGCTGTCAATCATCCAGGACTGAACACACGTTGGAATAAAACTGCTCTAAAGTGTTTATGCAATTACAGTAAGGGGAGGGGGCTTCGCAAAGGAAAATATTCAAAAGGGGCAGTCAATAGAAGTTCTGTTGTCTGACCCACATCCATGAACCTCACAGAGGGAGGGCGTTTGCAACTAGCTCCTTCTCAATGACTGAACCAAGCAAATTCAGTTCTGACAAAGGTTTGCCTGAGATACCCTGGTGCCATATAGTTTAGGACTTTCACCACCACTTTGAAGCAGAAGCAGAAGCATACTGGCAGTTCTAGTACAGATCCAATTCTAAATTGGCAGGTTTGCTGACACATTTTGTACCAGCTGCAGCTTCCAAGTTGTTTTCAAAGGCAGCCTCACAACAGATCGTATGCAATAAAAGGCATGAGTTAGTAGGGTTGGGCCAATGGAGAAAAGCCATTGGGATTTGATCTATGGTCAATTTCATCATGCAAAAAAAGTGTTCTCCTACTCTATCTGTTTTTAGTTCACTTTATGTACATTTTCACAGAGATTCAAAAAGGGAGAGAGGGAGGGAGGAATTGCAAAGCTGTCTCTCAGTTGTATCAATGGCTGAATTCCTGGATGAGACTGGTTGTGTGCCAAAAGTCAGGATTAGCCCAATGGATCAACTGGGGGTGAAACCCCTTCAATGCAATTCTGGTTACATAATAATAAATTGGCTCAGCTTTCAAACAGGGTGGACAGCATAAAATTACATGTGGGCTAGAGCAGCGGCCGCCAATGGGTGGGCCATGAGAAAATTTTGGTGGGCCGCAGAGAAATCTCACCCCAAGAGCACCCCCTCCCAAAAGCAATTAATCCAGGCTGCGCAGAAACACAAGTGCTGCGCCACCCACATGGCCCACAGGAACCCTCCCCGCCCACTCACTCCTTACCCAGTAAAGTTGCCTGCTAAATTTCTATTTTTCCTTTTTTCTGACCATCAACTGTTCTCTGTGCTGGGAGTTTTAGATTAGCTAGGAAGCAGAAAATGGTTGAATTTCTTGGTTTCTAGCTAGTCTTTAGCTCTTCGGCTCTGCTTTTAAGTACAGCTGAATCTCCCTTAGGACTGAAGGTTTGCTTGCAAGCAAATTCAGTGCAGACTCACGGCAAGCAAATTTGAGAGATTGAGCTAGCCGATGGCAGAAAGATAGAATGATTCTGAATCATTGAATCATTGAATGATTCTGTGAGCAACTCAATCTGCCTGCTTTGCCTGATTTTGGGTAAAAGATGCTCTTTTTTTAAATAAAAAATTCAATATTTACATGCATGGTGTGTTGTGAGTTAATTTTGTGAGTTTGCTTGCTAGCAAATTTTATGAGTTTGCTTGCAAGCAAATTTTATGTGACAGACTGAGCTAGCCAATGGCAGATATATAGATCTCTGAATGAATCTGTGATTCTGTGAGCAACTCAATCTGCCAGCCTGCTTTGCCTGATTTTGGGTAAAAGTTGCTCTTTTTTAATAAAAAAGATTCAATATTTATATAAATATTTATAATATTTACATACAAGCCATGCCCAGCCAGTCACATGACCACCAAGCCACACCCACAAATTAGGCCACACCCACAGAACCAGTTAGTGGTCCCTGGGATCTAAAATTATGAGTTTGGTGATCCTTGAGGTCCAAAAGGTTGGCAACCCCTGGGCTAGACGGTTGCTGAAGCAATGGTGTCCAATACAAGATATATGTACAATACATATCATTACTATTGAGATAAGCATCTGCTGGAAAATACTTCACCTGTCCATAATGAAATTTATTTCCAAGTCTTCCATGATCATAAGCTTGAAGTTTACCACTGTTAATGGCCTGAAATATAAAGAAATATCAAATGAATGTATTTATGATCTTACTTCAGCTTTCCTTTGCTTTACAAGCGCTATGAGGATTGGTTATAAAGTTACTTTTTCATACCCATCATAACTGAGTGGTTGTTAAAAAAGGCAGTTGCTAAATGAGGACTGTCTGTACTCTCAATCGGCAGCAGTGTCTTTGGGATGATGAATCTTTGGGGAGTTGAAACAGGCAAAACGTCAGACATCCCTTTTTGTATGTGCATCAACAAATAGTGTAATATAAACATAAACTATAATAATAGGAACAATAATAATAACAACAACAGCATCACATCTATGCACAAGATGGAGAACTTGTATCTTCACACTGCAACTGCCACCTTGCCTCTTTTGAGCTCTCCCTACAATTGCTGATGAGCATCATCATATGTTAATGTTCGTATTGGCCTTTCAAGCAATTCTTTGTGCTTTATTTTGCCATTAGCAAAAACAAAAACCAATACGTTAACATCGTTAACCTATTTTACACTTGAGAAACATGAAGAAGCTGAAAGAAGAGGCCTTTCCTAATAAGATCGAGCAAGTTCATAGCCAATGAAATTTTTGACTAGGGATTGACTGATTGATTTATATATTTACACAATTTAGAAGCTGCCTAACCTTAAATAACTGGGACTGTCCGATTTATTTATATATTTATACAATTTAGAAGCTCCCTAACTTTAAATAAATCTGAGATGTTTGCATTCTTTAAAAAATAAATTAAAAAAGGAAGAACAATACAAAACAAAATAAAGGAATTGATTATATTATCCTCCATTATCCAAGTCTCTATATTAAACAAACTCAACCAACAGCTTGTCCCAAAGCTTGTGAGAATAACCAAGTTTTCAGTGACTTTTCTAATGTCACATAAGACTCTTGGAAAAGCAGGGAGATTATTAAACAAATACTATGACAGAGAAGGCTTATTCCCTAGGTTCTAATAGATGACACTGTTTAACTGAAGGGACCTAAAGCTAATGTGTCATATGAGACAAACAAACTATTGGAGACAAGTGGCTCTTCAAATACTAGGCCCAGTGCCATGAAGGGCTTTTAGATAGTAATCAGAACCTTGAATTGGCCCTGGAGACTAACTGATAACCAATATAGCTTACAGAGCAATGGTGTCACCCAGGCATATTGCACTATGTTGTCTGTCCTACCATATTCTGGAGCAACCATAACTTCCAAATTAGCAGCTGCCAAAAAAGCTAATACAATCCTTGGTTGTATAAACAGAGGCATAGAATAAATCACATGAAGTATTAGTACCTCTTTATAAAGCTTTAGTAAGACCAAACCTGGAATACTGCATCCAGTTTTGGTTACCACATTACAAAAAAGATGTTGAGACTTTGGAAAAGGTGCAAAGAAAAGCAACTAAAATGATTAAAGGTCTGGAGACTAAAACATATGAAGAACAGTTGCGGGATTTGGGTTTGGCTAGTCTAGAGAAAAGAAGGACTATGGGGGACATATCCAGTATTTGAGAGGTTGCTGTTAGATCTGGAGGTGTGGGCGCAATAACGGAGACGAGGGATCTATAGTGACTCAACTCAACACTTTAATAGTGACTTCAGAACAGGACAACAACTAGGGCAGCAGCAGCTCTTTTATAGAGCTAGCTGCTGTCACAACAACCAATGAAATTGAAGTAACCGCTCTAAAAGCGTCCAATCGGCGACGGCCCGTTGTCAGCCAATCAGGTCAGCCAGAATCGGCCAATCACGATTCGCTTATCCGTGGGCCAATCAGAAGTGCAGGCTTACAAGCCTGCTGCTGAAGTAAGTTAGTATAGTTTTTGACGAATGAGTTTATTAGTTCGTAACACCCCTCCCCCCTAGGTTCCGTCTGAGGGGTGGGGTGACGTATTCTCATAAGTAGGCAGGCCGTTTCACTTGTCTATTCGATTTTTGCTGTTCCACCGGTCTCTGCTCTGGCGCTGGCTCCAGTGGGCTGTTTGTAGAACCGGGTGGCGAAGACAGTTCCATTACTCCGCTCGGGGATTCAGGGCTGTCCTCTCTGTTGTCATCCGGGTTCCCTGGACTTGCTTCTATGGCCGGGCTGCTTTGTGGCGAAACAATCACCCGGCTCGGTCCACCTCCGGAAGGTGAGTATTCCATGGTTGGCTGTGCAGACTGCTGGGCGTCAGTTAGTGGGTCGTCTGCTATTTCTATTTCGGCCCCCTCGATTTCCCTTCCCCCCTCAGCTTGCGATTCAGGGGTTGCGATAGGGTTAGGTGCCAATCGGGAACGAAGTTGGTCTATATGGCGCTTCCATAATTTCCCATCGCTAGTTTGTAGACGGTAAGATCTGGGGCCCGTAAGTTGAGTTATCGTAGCGGGGACCCACAATGGATCACCCGCGAAGTTTTTCGCGAAGACTAAGTCGCCTACCTTGAACGCACGACACTTGCTGCTGGAACCGCATGGTTTTTCTGGTGTGTATGTTGGGTGTAGGCGATCGAGGTGTGAGCGAAGTTTCTGGCCCATCAGAAGTTCGGCCGGGGTTCTGTTTGTGATGCTGTGCGGGGTGATGTGTTGGAGGAGAAGCATTCGGGTTACTTTGTCGTCAATGTCCCCATGTTCCATCTTGTGCAGGGTCTTTTTATGAATTGGACCATGCGCTCAGCCCTGCCATTGGCCGCAGGGTGGGCCGGCGAAGTTAAGGCATGGCGGATGCCCCGGTCGGCTAGGTACTGTTCAAATGCTAGGGCAGTGAATTGGGGACCGTTATCCGAGACTAAAACGTCAGGCAAACCGTGCGTAGCGAATAGTCTATTTAATTTTTTAACGACGGCTTCTGTGGTGGTGCTCTTCATTTTGTGGACTTCGAGCCAGTTGGAATAGGCATCCACAGTTATGAGAAAAGTGGGTCCCTTGGTGGGTCCTGCAAAGTCAATGTGGATGCGGGACCAGGGACCACGAGGTGCGTCCCATTCAGTTGGAGGTGCCTTCGGTGGGGTAGCGCGGATTTCCTGGCATTTGTTGCATATGGCTACCCAGGCTTCTATCTGTTTATCGATACCTGGCCACCACACGTAACTTCTTGCCAGTGCCTTCATTCGCACGATGCCTGGATGACCATCGTGCAACAGTTTTAGAACGGTGTGTTGTAATTTTTCTGGAATGATGACTCTGTCTCCCCACAAGATGCAGACCTTCTGGGAAAACAGTTCCGTCTGTCGATGTTTGAAAGGCGCGAAGGTGTCGTTGGGTTCGTTGTCAGGCCAACCTTGTTCCACCCAGCTGAGGACTCGAGCGAATACAGGATCCTTTTTTGTTTCCGCAGCGATGTCTCGTGCAGTCAGGGGTGGTGCAGGGAGAGTTTCGATTTGGAGTGCAGTTAAAGTTGGAGCTGGATCGTCTATGGCTTCCGGTTGCAGAGAACGACTCAAGGCGTCAGCGTGGGGAATGACTTTCCCCGGGCGGTGTTGCAGTTGATAATCGTATGCGGCTAGAAACTCTGACCAACGGGTCATTCTGGGTGATAAGATGTGGGGAGTTGGTTTGTCTCCCGCTAAAATGCCAAGCAATGGCTTGTGATCGGTTATTATGGTAAACGGTCTGCCATATACATATTCATGAAAGCGTTTAATAGCGGATACAATAGCAAGAGCCTCTTTATCGAGTTGGCTGTAGTTTCTTTCAGTCTTCGATAAAGTTCGTGAAAAGAAAGCAATAGGTGCTTCATTTCCGTTTGGTAGGACATGACTTAAGATGGCTCCTACCCCAAATGGTGAAGCATCGCAGGTGACCGTTAACGGCAAAGTCTCGTTATACTGCATTAATACAGCGTCTGAGGTTAAGAGATCTTTTACTTGCTGGAATGCTCGTTCTTCCCGATGTCCCCAGACCCAGGAAGCCTTCTTGTCGAGTAGTCTATGTAGGGGCTCAGCTACAGTCGCCTTCTGGGGCAAGAAGATGTTATAAAAGTTAATGAGTCCCAGGAAGGCTTGGAGGTCTGTTTTATTCCTGGGTCTTGGGGAGTTTTTTATTGCCGTTACTTTTTTTTCAGTGGGATGGATTCCCTTTTTGTCAAGAAGGTACCCCAGGAACTCAACCCTCTCCGTACAAAGTTGACACTTGTCCTTTTTTACTTTCAACCTGGCATTTTTAAATTTCTGAAGAACCGTTCTGAGTCGTTTCTCTAATACATCTTTAGTGGGGGCAGCTATCAATACGTCATCGAAATAAGGCACGACTCCTTTTATGCCTTGTAGCAGTCTCTCCATCAGGCTTTGGAAAATGCCTGGTGCTACACTCACTCCGAACTGGAGTCTATTACATTTAAACGCACCTCTGTGCGTGACTATAGTCTGGGCCTCAGCAGTTTCTGCATCTACGGGTAGTTGCTGGTATGCCTGGGCGAGGTCCAATTTTGCAAATACTTTTCCGCCAACCAGAGAGTGAAGAAGATGTTGGACCACAGGTACCGGGTAAGCGCTCTGCTGAAGTGCGTGATTTAGGGTGGCCCGGTAATCCCCACAAATTCTTATCGATCCATCAGGCTTTATGGGAGTTACAATCGGGTTTTCCCAACGGGCGTGATCGATCGGTTCCAACACCCCCTGAGCTATTAATTTGTCCAATTGTTCATCAATCTTTGGCTTGAGTGTGAAAGGCACTCGACGAGGCTTAAGGCGGATGGGTGCAACATCGGGGTTGAGGCTAAAGGATATGGGGGATCCCTTGTACTTGCCTAGTTTCTTGGTGAACACGTCCTGAAATTCCTGGACGAGGGCCGCTTCCCAATCGCTGTCTCCTGTCTGGTGAATGCCCGCTAGTTCAATTCCCAGTGGAACGAACCACTGTAACCCCAACAAGCTGGGTCGGTCTCGATCGACGATGGTAATAGGCAGATTTGCAGTGCGGTCTCTGAAAGACACCTGGACGTGGCGGGAACCGGCAATGGGAATCCTGTTTCCCTGGTAGTCCCGTAATATAATTTTTTGGGTGCTGAGGTCCTGCCGACGGATGTCAGGGATCAGCTGCTTGAAGGTTTTCCATGAGACCATTGATAGGGACGACCCCGAGTCTACTTCCATTACGCATGGACGATTCTCAATGGCGACCTTCACTCGGATCTTTCTTGCATCCATGGATGATGCGTGACCAATGGTAATGGTTTGATGCGCCTCTTCTCGCCTAGCTGACGCAGCAGGCGCTCGATTTCTGTAGTGATAGTGGTTCGATTGGTGATTCAGACAGTTCTGATTTACAGGTGGGCTGCTCGTTGTTCTTAGGATTGGGCTTGACGCTCGGTTGCTTCTGCAAACCTTTGCGATGTGGCCCCTCTTTCCACAGGAACGGCAGAGTGCGTCGAGGAATTTGCAGTCCGATCGCGGGTGATTGGCCCCGCAACCGGCGCATTGACGTGCAGGTTTCTGGCTCTTCAGGTCTCGCTGGTCGCGCTCTGACCTGAGTCGGTTGACCTCTTCTTCCTCACTATCAGACGAGGATTCGAGGTCTTCATGGTGAGCCGTTGTTGAGTGCCTCTTGGAAAAAGGCGTAGTGTCACTGGCGAGTTGGCGGAGTGGTGCGTTGGTGCGGTGCATTCGAGCGGCCGACTTCCTGGTTGCTTCTGCTGCAGTAGCGTCGGCGATGACATCTGCGAGGTCGATGTCCCCTTTAGCCATGATCTTGCTCTGCGCAGTGTGGTCATCTAATCCCAGAACTATGCGGTCTCTCATGGCTTCCTAGAGGTTTGCGAAACCACAGAGGCCTCCCAGGTTCCAGAGGTCCGCGATGAAGTCCCCAACGCTCTCGTTTTTCCGTTGGTCCCTCTGGTAAAATTCGTGCCTTCGGATAAGCGTTGGTACCGCGGGTGCATAATGGGCTCGGAGGATCGGTGCGAGGGTATCCCAATCCATTGTTTTAACTTCCGCTGGTTTAGCAAGTGCCTTAGCCATTTTAAAAATGGCAGGCCCACAATGGGTCAGGAAGATCGCTCGTTTCTTGCCAGGCGCAGCGTCTTTCAGGTTGTTGGTCTCCAGGAACATCTGGAACCTGTCTATATATGAGTCCCAGTCTTCGTTAGCCGGGTCAAATGGAGCGGGTGGTACGGCGCCGCTGGCCATCTTGCCGTTGTTGGCGCTCTCTTAGCCACGTGCTCTGTTCGGTGCTCAGCGAGTGCTCAGTCAGCTCTATCGTCTCCGCATCCCACCTTCATTGCCAGTGTTAGTTCTGGAGGTGTGGGCGCAATAACGGAGACGAGGCATCTATAGTGACTCAACTTAACACTTTAATAGTGACTTCAGAACAGAACAACAACAAGGGCAGCAGCAGCTCTTTTATAGAGCTAGCTGCTGTCACAACAACCAATGAAATTGAAGTAACCGCTCTAAAAGCGTCCAATCGGCAATGGCCCATTGTCAGCCAATCAGGTCAGCCAGAATCGGCCAATCACGATTCACTTATCCGTGGGCCAATCAGAAGTGCAGGCTTACAAGCCTGCTGCTGAAGTAAGTTAGTATAGTTTTTGACGAATGAGTTTATTAGTTCATAACAGTTGCCATAAAGAGATGGGGATCACTGTATTTTCCAAAGCACCAGAGGGCAAGAAACAATGGATGAAAATTAGTCAAGGAGGGAAGCAACCTGGAATTAAGGAGAAATTTCCTAACAGTGAAGACAATTAACCAATAAAACAGTTTGCCTTCAAAACTTATGACTGCTTCATCGCTGGAGGTTTTTAAGAAGGAACTGAACAGTCACTTGTCTGAAATGGTATAGGATCTCCTGCTTGAGCAGGGGGTTGGACTAGGTGACCTCCAAGGTCCCATCCAGCTCTATTCTGATTCTAATTTTCTAGGGCAGCCCCATTTGGAGTACATTGCAGTAATTCATTGGTGAGGTGACTAAGATCTGAGTAAGTAAGTATTGCCAAAAAGGCTTTAAGAGTTGTACATTTAATTTTATGAAGCTTCTCCTCTGGTAATACTGTTTTGCAAACTAGGGCATTCAAAACCTTTGCTAGACATGAATTCAGCCCTGCTTTCTGGAATCCACACTGCATATCTGACATAAATACAATTGAGCAAGTCCAGAAGTATTTTACCAGAAGAGTACTACATTCCTCTGTTCTCAACAGAATACCCTACAGCACCAGACTTGAGATTCTTGGCTTAGGCAACCTTGAACTATGCCAACTAAGATTGCACTTAAGCTTAGTACATGAAATCATATGTTACAATGTCTTATTAGTTAATGAATATTTCAGCTTTAACAACAACAACACAAGAGCACACACCAGATATAAACTAAATGTAAACCACTCCAAACTTGATTGCAGGAAGTACGATTTCAGCAACAGAGTGGTCAATGTCTGGAATTCACTACCTGATTCTGTTGTCACCTGCTCAAACCCCCACTCCTTTACCCTCAAACTAACCTCTATTGACCTCACCCCATTCCTAAGAGGTCTGTAAGGGGTGTGCAAAAGCGCACAATCGTGCCTACCGTCCCTGTCCTATTGTCCCCAATTATTAGTTTCCATTTCTTGTATTTAAACTTATGTTTACTCTTGTTTCTGTTATATTGTAAGCTTTTGACAAATAAATGAATAAATAAAATAATTGCTAAGGGGCTTCTAATACAGGAATAGGCATGATTGGCAAACTAGATAAATCTGTGCAAAGGCCCTCTTTGAGCAAGGGATGGAGATCAAAGCAATCCTCAAGTTGTGGACCAGTGATGAATGGGGAAATGCTCTCCCATTCAAAACCAAAAATGGAAAAAACCCGGAACTGGAGGGAAAAAATATTCACAACCACGCAGTATTCTCACGATTTAGCCTGACTCTTTTTCTCCCCATTCAGACCTGTACAGGTTTCAGAGACTGTGACAGGACCAAGATAGCATAACGCAGACAGCTCGGAGTTGAAATATCACTTGGGTATTATCAACAAAAGAATAACAATTTATATCTCTCAAGAAAAGACCATCCTATAATTTCTTAAAGCATAATATATTATGCCCTCCCAGGGTACCAATTTATTTTAGGGTATCTACCTGTTTCCAATGGATCATATTTTGCACAGATGTACCTGCTGGGACATATGAAGTATATACATCAACTCGGCTCTGAAAGAAAAAAAAAAAGACATCGTGTAGATTCTTTACTGTGCAACCAAGTTAATTTCAGATCATTTTTTTTTATTATGTTAAGGAATCGTGTGATTTCTTTCTTTGGTTTTATGTCACTGCATAAATCTAACCATTAATGATTGCAAACCATGGCTTATGGCAGAGAAGACCAAGAGTCTTAAAAATGTGCAAATCTCTGTGCAAATTTCTTGCAGACGTTTCATTACCCAAACTAGATAACATCATCAGTGCTAGTAAGAAGTGCAGTTTGTTGACACTTTATACTCTAGTGGCTTGCCTGTCTGTGTTGGCGGGGGTGATCTTAGAGATTCTTTGGTTGAGCTATTTGCTGTTGGCTTCTTTGGCAGTTTCTTAAAAATGTCTCTGCTCCAGAAAAGGGGGAACTGGCATTAGTCATCTGTTGTTTGTATTATACAAATCCAAATTGTGTTTATTTCATAAGCCATGATTGAGTAAACCAATCTAATCCATAATTCTGAACCAATAGGCTGAAAGCCCACTCAAAGGTTTATAAGAAATGACAACTGAAAATGTTTGAAACCTTTCATAAAAAGTTATGTTTCTTTTTTGTTCACACAGTTGGGATGAAATGAGCACAATGGTAGGGACATCTGCAACCATGCAACTGAAACATGGAAAAAGCGGTGAAGGTTCTGTCACAAGGTCACAGCCAACATCTTGACACCTCTGAACACTGCATTCATCTCACAATGTATTGTGGTTTGCCAGCAGCAGGTGCGGACGGCTGAGGTCTCAGAGAGTGAGGACTCAGATGAGGGGCCTGCGTGTGATGCAGGGATGGGGCCAGGACTATCTGAGAGTGGGATGCTGTCTTCGGAGCTTGTGGAGTCTGGCAGCAGTGACGAAGAGGACCCCGGGAAGCCTGTGCCCAGTGCGCATGCACACAGGGCTGCTTGAAGGAAAGAGCAGCTGAAGCAGCAAGGGTGATTCGGGAATAAGGCTGAAAGGTGATGGCCCCTCTCATAAGGGATAAAAACCAGCCCTCGGGGATGTGTTCTTTGCAGGAAGCAAAGAAGTTCTTTAGACTCAGTGTCCTCGTTGAAGCCCTGATTAGTTTTTGAAACTTCTATCGGTGGATATTTACTATTTAATCAGTAATTAGTCTTCTGTCCTTGGCAGCCTTTTGCAAACTTGAAAGGGCTTGCTTTAGATATCGGACAATTAGGTTTAAATGTCTCTTGGCTGGGAATGCACTGAATTCCCAGTGCCACATTTAAAAAGGTTTGCTTTTATACACAGTTTGTGTTTGTTTAATTTGAACAAGGTTTGGGTCAGAACACAATGGGAGAAAAGATACAATAACCTTTTCAAAAAGTTCAGGGGAAAATATCTTATTCCCAGACAGAAAATATAATGTAATATGTAATGCTTAGAGGGGGAAAGTGACCAAACTAAGGAGACACAGTGGAAATTGAGTATCTCTATCACACCTCATATGGAAAAAGTGAGTTTCCATCCCTCATACTGAAAAGGGCAGATAAAGGAAATTTCTCCTTTCAGCTCATTCATGGTCTTCATGAATGAAAACCAAGACACTCAGATACACAAGCCAGTAAATAAAATAATGGAAGCTTTCTAGGCCATCTCATTTTTTTACTGAAGGAACCCAAATTAAAAACATCTTCAACAAATATCTATCCCAGATTAGTCTATTGAAAAGGAACTCATCACTTTAGATACTTTTAGAATGTATAGATAATTTGTAATATTATTTGATTTTTGGATGGATGGATGGATGGATGGATGATATGCTGAAAAATAAACCACCAATTTTTATAGACAACACACAAGAATCCATTAATGTTCTTTGCAAAACAAAATGGCAAATTGCTGCATTTGGTTTCAAGGCATACCAATCATGTTAGAGAAAAAAAGAATCCTGAAAAATCAGGGAGCTGGCGGGAGTGACAAAAAGAAAGCTTCTCAACCTATCTCCAGGTAAATCAATGTTCTGGGTTTTCCCATGTATATTGCGGTAGCCATTTTGTGACTGCCCCAACATGTGTGGCCAATATTCTAAACCAGTGGTCCCCAACCTATGGGCCGTGCCAACTACCAGGCTGTGACCTAGCCCGCATGAGTGGTGAGCCGGCGTGCATGTGTGTTCGCAGCCACACTTGCTTGAGTGATGAGCACTGGCACTCACATTCACACAAGTGGCACTCCAAAGGCTTTTCTTTCGCACGAGTGGAGCTTATATGGCTCGGTTCTCCTCTCCACACGCCACCTAGCTGCCAGCTCCCGATGCTTCAAAAGCAGAGTAGTGAGAACAGAGGCTGAGTGGGACAAGCATGCCCTGCTCAGTTTCGCTGACTTACCAAGGCTGCCTTCACAAGACATCCAATCCATTTCAAGCCTTCCATCTAGTGGAGGGATTCAAATTTTTTTACTACCAGTTCTGTGGGTGTGGCTCAGTGGGCGTGGCTTAGCTTGGCGGGTATGGATTGGTGGGCGTGGCAGGGGAAGGATACTGCATACCTACTTTCCAGCTCCATTCTCCTATGCAGGGCAACCAAAGAAGACCCAGCCAATCAGCTGGGACTCAGGAGGCAGAGAATAGATGGAGGTGGGGCCAGTCAGAGGTGGTATTTGCCGTTTTTCCAAACTACTCAAAATTTCCGCTACCGGTTCTCCAGAACTGGTCAGAACCTGCTGAATACCACCTTTGCTCCCGTCCCTTTGCAAAAACTTTTGACACAAAGAAGTCTGATGTAGCTGAGACTACACCTGAAAGGCTTCTCTTGTCCCTTGCGTGAGTGGAGCTTGTGTGGCCCAGTTCCTTCCTCTCTACCCGCAGCCCCAGCCAGGCTGCCAAACCACAAAGGTTGGGGACCACTTTTCTAAACGTGTTTCAACCAAAAGCATGCTTAGTTTTGATCTGTAGAAAGAAGTCCATTTAGTAATGAGTCCTCTATATCAGTTAAGTAAACTAAAAAGAGTGAATCTCTGAAACAAATACAACTCCTTCCCTTAATCCAATATTTTTCAAACTTGGCAACTTTGAGATATATGGACTTCAACTCCCAGAATTCCCTGGCCGGCTTGAATTCTGGAAGTTGAAGTCTACAGATCTTGAAGTTGCCAAGTTTGAAAAATGCTGCCCTAATTGGTTTTGTCCTCCTGACATAGTGAAATGGTAGCTTCTAATGTCTGTGGAGATTCTCAGTCATCCAGTTCATGGTTGTCTCAAAGGTGCTTTTTCAAAAGGCAGCTGGACTGTTTTTTTTCCTTGAGGTAGACGTTTCACTTTTCATCCAAGAAGCTTCCTTGGTTCTGGCAAGATGGTGGGGATGATGGAAGGACTAGTTCTGACAGGATTGGGGGAAGGCGAGCAATGGAAGGATCATATTTCTTGGCAGTCACCTGGTTGTTAGTATTCTCTGTGAGAGCTCTTGAGGTCACCCTAGCGGCATTAACTGGGCAAAGACTTTAAAATGAAGAACATTATGCTGAAACAATGTACTCACCATATTCAAGTTCTCCTCATTATAACCATTCAGTACAAATAATAAGTTGCTACAAATAGATGCCAGTGCCTCCTGACTGCAGACGTTGGTAGAAAACAAAGTACCAAAATAAGTTTTGGGTGAAAACTCTTTTCTTCCAAATAAGATCTGTAAAATTTCAGAGACATGAATATTACTTATACAGAATCATCCGCCCCACTGTACCCCCAGCAGTTCTACAGAAGATGATATAACTGTAAGGAACAGAGTGGAACCAATACACAGGTAGGCCTCAACTTAGAATCATTCATTTAGTGACCGTTTGAAGTTACAATGGCGTCAAAAAGTGACTTATGACTGTTTTTCATACTTATGACCATTGCATGATCCTGGTAATCAAAATTCAGAAGCAACTGGCTCATAATTATGATGATTGCAGTGTCCTGGGGTCATGTGATCACCTTTTGCAACCTTCTGGCAAGCAACATCAATGGGGAAGCCAGATTCACTTAACAACTGTGTTACCAATTTAATAACTGCAATGATTCACTTAACAACTGTGGCAAGAAAGTTCATAAAATAGGCAAAACTCACTTAAAAACTGTCTTATATAGCAACAGAAAATTTGGGTTCAATTGTGGTTGTAAGTCAAGGACCACCTATGTATAGGAAAACCCTCCTTTTTAGTAATATTGGCTCTGAATGATGTGTGTGTGTGTGTGTGTGTGTGTGTCTGTGTGATGATAGAAAGATGGGTGAATGGATGGGAGAGAAAGAGAGAAAGAAGGGAGGGAGGGAATTCCATGAGTAAAAGAAAATTTATTTATTTATTTAATTTATATGATGCCCCTATCGCTGTCATGTGACCTTGGGCAGCTTAAAAACATCATAAAAAACAGAAGTATGAACAATGAAACAATTCATTAATAAATAAACAGAAATTAAATACCGATTTTTTTTTTCACTATAAGACACTCCAGACTATAAGATGCACCTAGCTTTTGGGGAGGAAAACAAGGGGATAAATCTGCCTCTGCCTCCCAGCAATTTGCTTCCTTGTAGCAAACAGCAAACAGCCTGGTCAGCTTCAGCACAGCCAGATTTAGCACGAGCAGCTGATTGGCGGTTGGATCGGCCTCCTGGGATACCGCCAATCAGCTGTTCCAGGCTGCGGGGGTCACCGCTGCCCATCGCCATGGTTGCCGCCAATCGCTGCCGCTGCCTATCACCACTTACGTGCGTCCCATTTTCTGCCTCCATGCATCATGTTTTCGGCCTCCATGCACCCCATTTTCGGTCTCCGATCACCGCCGATTGCTGCCACCTCCATTCAGGGTGCACTGAGGCAATGGTAGGCAGTGATGGCGGCAATCCCCACAGCCTGGGACAGCTGATCCGAGGTATTCCGGGAGGCCAATCTAACCGCCAATCAGCTGCTTGTGCTAAATCAGGCTGTGCTGAAGCTGACCAGGCTGTTTGCTGTAAGGAGGCAAATTGCTGGGAGGCAGAGGCCGAATGATGGAGGGCAGAGGGTGGGCGGGGCTTCGGCAACATTCGCTCTACAAGACACACAGACATTTCCACCCACTTTTTGTGGGGGGGGGGGTGGGGTGGGGGGAGAAGTGTATCTTATAGTGTGAAAAATATGGTAAGTCAAAACCAGAATACTATAGGGTGGGTTCTTCTTCCCAACATGGAACACACCCATCAGGGCCTCCAGGCCAGTTGCTAGAGCCAGTTTCGAGACTCTTAGGGAAGGCCAAGAGGGTGATCCCACAGTGTTTCAGAGAGCAGGAGCCACAGCAGAAAAGGTCCTTCTCCTGAGCTCCTGATAGGATCCACAGCATATCCCTTCATCCAGAATGAGTGGGTTGGGCCAATCCCATTGGGGTGAGATGGTTCCTCGGCTCTCCAGGTAAAATGGAAATGACCTGTGTCCTAAGACTGCAGCAAGAGCAAGTTTCTAAATCTTATAATTTCCATATAATGAACGCTTACAGGCCAAAGTCACCTAATCCACATACCTTAATTTCTATGTCAGAAAGTTTTGCAAGTTGGGCTAAAGGTGTTTTAGCATTTTTAACAGTAGCAACAGGAGCTAAAGCCAGATAGAGTTTGATTTTGGAAGCCAGTTGTTTATTGGTTGAAAAAGCTATAAAAGCTGACAAGGAGGAAAAGAAGAGGGAAACAGCTGGTTAACATCAAAGTCAATTGATTACCTGATTCCACATGATTAAATAAAATTCCACCTTTGATATGCTTAGCAACTAGCTTCTCTCTAAAAGCATGAAGAGGAAACAGGATGAATCCTGAATTAATCATCCACTCAGATGCTATCTCACTCTGGCCTCTGTAAACCTTGGCTATTAAAATGAAAAAAGAGGCAGCTACAAAAATTGCTTATCTTGTTGTTCAGCAGTATGTGTGCTATGTATGCTATGAGCGCATGGAAATGCAAACCTTTGATAACAATTCCAAGTTGTCACTAGCTTGACTGGCTGGTTCCCCCCCCCTTTCAATTATGTCCAGTTTTCTGGAGACTGCCTGGCTCAAGTCCCTGTAGTTTTCTTGGCAAGGTTTCTTCAGAAGTGATTTGCCATTGCTTCCTTCCTAGGGCTGAGAGAAAGTGACTGGCCCAAGGTTGTCCAGCTGGCTTCATGCGTAAGTCACTGTCACTAAAACACACTAGTTCAGGGGTGTAAATCTCAATTTCATTGAGGGCCACATCAGGGTTGCGTATGACCTCAGGCCTTGATTTTGACACCCTTGCACTAGATGTACTTCCAAGCAAATGCATTCCCAATACTGTCCTATATAGGCATATTAATTAGAACATTTACTTGAGTTCAGTGGGACTTCTTTTCTGGTAAATATATATAAGATTGCAGTCCTAGACAAGAGCAGCCCCTTGGCACAAGGTTGGGCATCTTCTGAACTTACCAATGGTGGTTCCTTGGGAGTGCCCAATATAATAAAGTTGTTGCTGCCCAGTTTTCTGCAGAATAAAATCTATAGATGCTGGAAGGTCATATTTAGCCATCTGATCATAACTGGAAACAAAAACAAATGTCCTCATTAAACTGCGTGCACAGCAAGGATCTTCAACCTTTCATATCCTGAGAGTGTGTGAGTCTCATTTTCACAAAATGGTTTCCGTGTAGGATATGGTGCTCAAGCCATGCATCCTAACCAGACTAAAGTTGCCCAAATTTCTAATATAGTAAAGGACAGGAGTGCAAGATTTAGAATCAAATGTCTACCTTTCCATCTTGTCCCTGACTAACCTTTAGGACTGGGTTTAAGCAAGGTGAGACCCAGAGCTTGGGAAGCCGTAGAGGCTCTATTTGGCAGGTGCTAACAGAGATTGACAACTGAACACCATCAAGATGCCTAACAAACCCTGATGGGGTCTAGAATGCATGTAGGAACAAAGTACATCTTAACCAATTAAGGAGCATATGTAAGCCACACAGAAGGGCTTAATGTGGATTTCTTTGATGCTCGGTGAGCTTGGTTGTTTGCTTGCAAACACTTCATTACACAACTAGGTAACATCATCAAACCTACACTACATATATTCTCTTGTAGGAAGATCATTTATGGAAACTATCTTCAATGGAATTATAATAAAACTGTAACAGTTTTTAAAAATCTGAAACTTTCAGAGATCCTTCTGCCTTTAGAATGTGCCTAAATCCAGCAAGGGCCTCATATTTATGACAGTTGCAGTGTCCCATGTGATCACCTGTTGTGAACTTTTGACAAGCAAAGTCAATGGGGAAGCCAGATTTGTGTAACAACCATGTTACTAACTGAACAACGACCATGTTATTCGCTTAACAACTGTGGCAAGAAAGGTCGTAAAATGGGGCAAAATTAACTGAACAAATGTCTCAGCAACAGAAATTTTGGGCTCAAGTCTGATCATAAGTTTAGGATAACCTGCAAAACAAAAGTCTCTGTAGTATGGGGGGAAGGGGAAAAGCTTTGAGAAATCGTAAAGAAGGTTTCCTTTACAGCATTAATTTATTTTCCCTAAGAAAATGGAGAAAGGCATTTTGGAGAAACTGTAGGAAAGGAAGTAAAAGGCAGAAGAATTCTATTTTTGCTCCAAGAAATTATAATCTGCTCTACACTCTATCTTTTCTGTTGAGAGTAGAATAAAGCAAACAAGCCAGCTCTTATCAGTGTATAGATTAGGTCAGGGGTCCTCCAACCCCCAGTCCGGTCTGTGGCTTGCCAGAAACTGGGCCACACAAACAAGCGAAGCCCCATCAGTGAGATGCAGGCAGCACATGAAACCACATCCCCTCTGCTCCGCGGAAAAACCTCTCTCCATGGAACCGATCCCTGGTGTCCAAAAGGGGGGGGGCACCGAATTAGATCTCATGCAGACATTTACAAACCCCTCACATCCTGGATATAAACTGTTTCAACTCCTTTCCTCAAAACGATGCTATAGAGCAGGGGTCCCCAACCGCCGGTCCGCGGACCGATACCGGTCCGCGGAACAACTCTTACCGGGCCGCTGGTTGCTGGGCGCCGCCATCTTTTTTGACGAAAAAGTGTTTCCGGTGAGGTCACCGGAAGCACTTTTTCGTCAAAAAAAGATGGCGGTGCCCAGTTGATGCCGGTACCGGGCCGCAGCGCCCAGCTGATGCTGGTACCGGGCCGCGGCGTCAAAAAGGTTGGGGATCCCTGCTATAGAACACTGTACACCGGAACAACTAGACACAAGGACAGTTTTTCCCAAACGTCATCACTCTGCTAAACAAATAATTCCCCCAACACTGTTCAACTGTTTACAAAGTCTGCTCTACTATTACTATTAATCTTCTCATCACTCCTTATCGCCCATCCCCTCCCACTTATGACTGTATGACTGTAACTTTGTCGCTTGAATCCTTACAATTTATATTGACTGTTTCCTAGTATGATTTGATTGCTTATTGTACCCTATGACTATCATTAAGTGTTGTACCATGATTTTTGACTCTTGACGAATGTATCTTTTCTTTTATGTACACTGAGAGTATTTGCACCAAGACAAGTTCCTTGTGTGTCCAATCACACTTGGCCAATAAAGAATTCTATTCTGTTCTATTGTATTTTGTCCAGGAAAGAAGGGAACAAAGATAATAAGCTTAAAACACAATAAGAAGTGAGGAAGCTGGGGGAAGTGGAAAACCCAGGAGTATCTAGGATTGTGCTTCAGAGAGAGGAAGGCAGCCCAATTAATAATAGTCCCAAAGGCTATAAAATTTCCCAAAGATTAATATATCTCCAGCATGAGGAGATATCTGAGATCCACATTGCTCTGCACAGCTTAAATCAGTATACCTGAATTTCCAAAGCTTCTCCAAAAAGGGAGAAAGAGATGTGTGATTCTTGGACCAGGTGTTCCCTCGGCTATTTCCTAGCCAGACATCATATCCAGCGTCTGCTAACATGAAAGCCAGACTATTATGAGGAAAATTTTGGTACCATTGGGCAGCATCCACCAGCAAGCCATGCTGTAGGAACACTACTCGCTTTGGACCTGAAACAAAACAATCAGAAAGGCATCCTGTCATTTGGTGTTTTGGGTAATCTTTGCAAGACTAATATTGGATGTTGTAACTTTATTCAGAAATTATAATTTGTAGCAGAATTATTCCCTACTCGTTGTTGCTTCTCTCTCCACGTTTGCAAAGAGGCTTTGAATCCAGAATGTTGTTCTTTGCTGAGAAGCACATTCACCTCACTATTGTAAAATGTCCCAACTTAGTAAGAATACAAACCTGTGGTTGTGTTGTTTTCTCTGCCATGTGGAATTCTGAATAAGTTGAGAATATAGCCATCTTCTGTAACCACATAATGTTCCTCAAGAGGATATTTCCAGTACAGGATGAGCTGCTTCTACAAAAAGCGAAGAAGGCAAACACAAAATCAGTTCATCATAGTGATAAACCTGACATTATGAGTAGACCTAATAGACTATTTCAATCTAAAGAAATACTAAGAGGTATAGATGTGAATAATATGACAAAGATACTAATACAGTAACCAACACCTATAGATAACTACATATATTATGAACATTAAAACCCTGAACATGGTAACAGCTAATTAAGTTAAGTTTAATTCTGGCAAGGTTGTCAGTCTTTGAAGGCCTTCCAAGATAGTTTTTATGAGACTTTAGAAGACCTTAAAAGCAGATGTCATCCTTGCTTCAGCATTGTTCCAATGGAATGGGCTGTTCTAAAAATTCCTTCAAGAAATTACTTACTGAATTCAGTCTGGCTTCGGGATTAACATTTCTGTTCACATTTTTTCCTTCAACTAATACAGGCCAATAAAGTAAAATCAGAACCAGCCACATTTTCAGTTTCCCTGTAATTAAAAGATTTATTTATTTTTATTTGATTTGTAAGCCAGCCATCTTAAATGCAAGATTCTGGGAAGCTATAAATGATTAAAAACAAAATAAAAATAATAGTAAATCAATAACATATATGAGATAAAAAAAATCAACCAACTCATCAGTTAACATAACCGTGGTATAGGCTCAGTCACAAGCTTGGGGTCAAAGCTCGGTAGCAAAATCAGGCCTAACACCTTGAGGCAAATTTAATCTCCAGAAGAATAATGTTCTATAGATGCTACAACAGAAAAACCTGTATGCCCAGCTCTCGCCAAATAACACTCCTTAATAGATAGGACCCATACCATGCCTCTCCCATCAGAACTAACAGGATTGGTAAATGTAACTAGGAAGAAACAGTCCCACAAATAACCCAGGCCTAAGCCATGAAGTGTAGGTAATTACCAGTGCCTTGAATTCTATTCTATTCTATTCTAAAGGATCAGAATCAAGTTCACTAGATTTTCTCTTGCTTCAATTAAATTTGCACCAAAGACCAAAGGTTGAAATAATTCCATTAAAACTTCAGTTAAAACTATTCTATCAAGGATATAAATCAGTATTTAGAATAAAAATAGTAATTATTCTAAAAACGAAGAAAACATTTGCAATGGTCAAAAGAAATGGTGCATCTCAGTTTCAATTTAGTACCATAGTGAATGTTTTTTTTAAAAAAAACAAAACATTAAAATTCTAATAAAGGTTTGCTTGGGATGCATTTTTCCACACATACATTTTCTACATTATTATCAAAATATAGAGGGTACCCAGCAACATATTGTTGCCTAAAATCAACTCTGCAATCTTTGGAAGTGAATTTCAGGAATTTAAATTTGCATTCATACGAACCCTGATTCTTAAGCTTGCAAATTAATTTTAAAACTACCCATTCAATTTCTATTTTAATAGATATTTATGTGCAATTGGACCTTCTGTCCAATTCAATAGTTTGTGCAAAGATAGAGAAAAACCATGAATATCTTTCAGCACCTGTAGCTATTTTTCTCTATACAACATTAATCATAGAGAAATACCATGTAATATACATTTATGTTGCATTTATATTCAGCCTGGATAGTTCAAAGGAACTTACCAGAGAATATCAGTTGCTTGGAGGGTCCAACCTGCCAGATACAGAAAAATAAGCTAAGTGAATAAAAGCAGAGCAGAAATAACCCAGACTATATCAGAATAAAGTAGAGCCACAGTTTTTTCAGAATGATTAGTTTGGACAAATGACCCTTTCTTCTTGATAAACTCTACCTTGTATTTTAACTGTAGGTTGGGATAGAATAGGAAAAGGAATGTAAAAGACGTCAAATTTTTCACATTGTAATATTTTAGTACTACAAATAACAAGCCAGATGAGAGATTTACAGCCCCATTGTGGTGCAAATCTTAATCAAAACTGGTTCTGTTCAGTTCTTATTTCCTCGTCCAGAAATGATTATGAGATGTTTAAGGAAGATTTTTGTTTGACAAACATGCTTGACATTTTCCAGTAACAGGCTTCACATAAAGGTCAGGTCATACGTCAAAGATGCTCTTTGCTTTTCTCCCTTTTGAAACAATTATGTTTTCACTCAGCCCATTTAGAAAATAATAATAATAATAATAGCAGCAAAATGCAACCCAAGTCACTGTGCTTAGCTGTGTTTTAAAAGATTCATATCATTTTTAAAAATTATATTTTCAGTTTTTAAATCATCTCCTATTAAGCTTGCAGTCTGAGAGCGCATTTTCCTTCTGGCTAATGACCAATTAGTTCAATATTCAGAAAAAAAGGGACAGATAGTCATCCACTTGTACAGGTCTATGTATTAGCATGGAGCCTACTATCAAACTGGGTTCCTTAGTTTGCTACATTAGGCTTATACCAAGGATTGTTTCTGGAAAAATAGTTCCTATTAGCGACAGCCAGCAGTGTATGAGGCAGGGCTGGGCTTCAAAAATTTTAGCAATGAGTTCTCTGCCCAGTTGTTGGGTGGGCGTGGGTGTGGCCATGGTGGGTGTGGCCTAGTCTGCCTCCTGCACCATTGGGAGTGGGCGTTTTGCCCTCCCCGGGCTCTGGAGGCTTTCCTTGAGCCTCCAGGAGGGCAAAAACGGCCTCCCCGGGCCCCGGAGGCTCTCTGGAAGCTGGAAACAGGTCTGTTTCTGACCTTCCTGAACTTCCAGGAGGCCTATTTTTCATCCTCCCTGAACCTCCGCACGCACCCTGCACTTACCTGCATCCTGGGAGGGGAGGGGTGGGGTGGGAGGGGCCAGCCAGGAGTGGGATTTGGGGGCTCTCCAAACTGTGCAGAATCTTAGCTAGGTGTTTTCCCAAACCCCTGTGAACCCCCAGCAGCCGACCTCTGGTCTGAGGGAGTGTCCAATCCGCAAGACCAGTGTACCAATGTTCAATGCAGCAAGGTCACCGTTACAATGCTGCGTTCTTCGTCCTGTAGATTCTCAATCCCTACCATTGGCTCCAGTGAGCTAGCAAAGATATAGGAGAAGAACAGGCAGAACTGAGGGGCTTAAGAGTTCTAACATTGCCACAAATGATCCAAGCCCAAGCCCTTTGGAATTCCATTGACCCTTACCTGATGCCAATTTAGTAGCAATAGCAATAGCACTTAGATTTATAGACAGCTTCACGGTGCTTTACAGCCCTCTCTAAGCAGTTTACAGAGTCAGCATATTGTCCCCAACCACCTGGGTCCTCATTCAAATTCAAAATGTTCCATTTTAAGAACAAAATGGTGGATTTAGAATGAAAAACAGGCTGTTGCAATCATTCAGAGTGTATTGGATATGAGGCAGCTCTTCAAAGACGGAAACAATCTACTTGGATTCAAAATATTTCTGAAAAAGGATTGAAATGATATATCCGTTTTGATATGGAAATAGCGGTTTCACACTCAGAGCCAATGCCTCAAACAAGATTTATTTTACTTTATTTATTTCAAATGTTTACAGGGCTGCCCATCTTAAACCAAACTCTTGGCAATGCAAGATAAAAACAATATATACAAATAAATGAAATAAAACACTAAAACAAAGAACAAAAATGATCTGGCGCCACCACTAAACTTTCCAATACAATCCAGAATATCCAATTGCACCCAATCCCAGTTTTAAATGCTTTTTGGAAGGATAAAGCCTTTCAAATTCAAAATGGGTGAGCAGGTTGGGGGATGGATTTACTAAACCATTTATTATTTAATTACTATTCTATGTATAATGTACAGTATCTGTTCATCAAAATGAAACAGTTGCATAAGAAAAATGAAAGTGATACAAAAGATACACAGGTTATATATAGACATACTCACACACACACATGCATGTACATATTTGTCCAATATTTTAAATAAGTTTTCTAGTTAAAATTAAATAAAAAATTATATTAATTAAAACTAATTAAAATTTTCATACAGAATAAAAATTAGCAAGATCTAATGTTTAGAACTAAAAATAGGAGAAATAAAAGAAAGAAAAAAGGACAAAAAAAGCACAAAACAAAGGAAAGAAAGAATGATTATAAAAAGTGATTTCTGATTTTATTTTACAACAATTATGTGTATAAATATAAAATAACTCCTATTGCAGCATTGTTTGCAATAGTTTCAATAAAGAATTATCATAATTCACTACAGTACAGTCATCCCCTACGTAATTTATGTTTGTAAGCATTTTCTTTTTAAAGCCACAAGTAATTTCAGGTCTTCAATCCATTCTTAAATGTATTTTTCCAACATTGAAACAATTCAGATCTGTAATGTTTTGCCCTCCCTTGATCTGTGATACACACCACAGTGGTTGACCAAGCATTTAGAAAAATGTTTTAAAATGAAGTTTCATTCAGACTAGTCAGCCATGGCTACTGCTGAATTCAGATAAAGCAGTAAAACACTGCTACAACAGTCAATTTCCTTTTCAAAAGTAGCCAGTGTAGTATACTGAGATCCACGTTCAAGTTTAACCCTCACCTAAAGAAGCTCACTCGGTGACTTTGGATCATTCATTATCTCATCTCAACTTACCTCACAAGATTATTGTTGTTGGAAAAAACTGGAGACTTGAAGCCAGAGGCTACCATGTGGAGGACAAACTACAAAGATCATTTGGAGGTGGAAGAAATTTCAAATGTAATTTATTAAATTCCCTGCATAGATTGCCCCGTGACTATATGGAGGGATGAGGAGGAAGATAACCAGAGGATTGCAAGAACATGAGCAAGTGCTTAGAAGAGGAGACCCGAACCCATTGGCAGCCTCATATTGCAATGAGTGAGAACATGCATTCAATTTTGTGACTACTACTATTGTTGGCCAAGTAGGGACAAAAACAGTCAGAGAAATGTTTGAAGTCTTGGAAATGGGGCCATCAGTCAGTAAGGGTGCTGATTTACCACCAGCCTATCAGGTACTTAGGAGCTGAGGGTACAGTGGCACAAGGAAACAACAATTAACAATTTAATAACCAGTCATTAACACCCTAATTAACAACTAAAAGCTACACATAATGTAGGAACCATATAAATACAACACATAAAACAGCCCAGTGTGCATATTCTGGAGAGAGAGAAGTTATCTGATATAGGCTCTAGCACTAACCCAAAAGCTTGGAAGAATAAACTTTTGGAACCAGAGACCGACTCAGATTGGATACTGCAACATTATTCTGGGACACGTATATTTACTGTCATTTGCTGGAGTGCTTCCTTATGTCACTTTCAGCTCCTACAGGAAAGACAGGATATAAACCTAACAAATGGATAAATAAATAAAACTTCTAACCCATCTCTACATGTTTGTCCTCACTTGGAATCTGTGGTCAGTTCTAACCAAGCACTATAAAATAAAAGTTTTGATTTAGGAAACATAGCAACAGGGACACGTCTGCATAAAAGCTGAGAAAGAAAAGAAGAATTAAGAAAACATTTTAGCCTGTGGGTGAGGGACAACAACTCACAGAGGTTACCACAAGGGATAGTCTCACATCAACAATGGGAAACTTTTTAAGAGTACTGCCTTCACCTTTTGATATTATTTAATTAAAAGCAAATTAACATTAGATAAATAAAATGCAATTGATATGGATTCTCCATGGACTTGACAGTTTTCCATGCTGTCTTTAAAATTCACAATTCAGTGATAACTTTTGGAATCCCACAAATGAGGAAAGCTTTCAGAGATTGCTATTCCCAAAAGACAGCTAGAAACATGCTTTCCCCTTTTACTCTCACAGGTACTTCCTAAATTGGGATATCAATAGGCGAGGAAATAGAACTCCTATTATT